TATTAAAAGGCTTCTTTCATTGTTAGTTTAATTAGGAAACGGATCCATAACAACTAAGAACCAAATCCAGCTGTGTTGGTTCAGAGGCACCAGGTCCTGCTAGCAGAATATGATGAGGTATTTTAACTCTAATGAAGTCAGTAGTGACTCCCCGTCAGTGCAGCGTTGTGCTACAACACATGGTCACTGAGGCTATTGACATGTTTTCCTCACTGATATTTCTAATAATAATAACAATAAACACAGCTGACACTAATCTTCTTGTAACAATGCTCACACTATTTATATTTTTATTTAGTTCTTGCTGTAGGAAAATTACTATTTTTTCTCTGCTTTTCTTTTGTTTGCTTCAGTATTACTGGGGGATTAAAACATTTTTTCACAGAAGATTAGTTTATTGTGAGTTAATTAAACACAAAGCGTAATTTATTTTTTAAAAATTTTTATCTCCCTGTAGCTGTAGTATTATATATATATATATATATATATATATATATATATATATATATGTATATATATATATATATATATATATATATATATATATATATATATATATATATATATATATATACAATATGTAAACACACACACACACACACACACACACACACACACACACACACACACACACACACACACACACACACACACACACACACACACACTCTCACACATGATCCACTCCCATTCCTCTCTTATCTCTTTGCTTAAATAAACTCTGTGACCAGCTGTTCATGATTTGATTGTATGTTTGCCTCATTGTTTCTTGTCCCTCTCTCTAGCTGCAGGAAATGGGTTTATTGATAAAATCCATGACTCTAATTGCTCCAACAGTTGATCTATTTCCACCAAGTTGCTTGGCGATTACCCCATAGCTTTTTTTAAACCTTGTGAAGGTCCACAGTTTTGTCTCTAGTTTCTTTTGACAGCTCTTTAGTCTTTGGGAGAACTTGCAGAATTGCAGGGTATTCAACTAATGTTCCTCATTGTATCTTAATGCTGAAATTTATAACCCAGCATTTTAGTACTTAGAATATTTTTTTGATACTTATCAGCTATGCAGATGACAATCCACCCTTCATCAAACTGTATATACAGCGTTTATGTGACTACTCACTCATGAAATCAGATTTCAGTGTGTGGTGCTCAGAGTTGTTGTGAGGGGGTATGGTCATGTTGGTGACAACTGTAATACAGGTGTCAGGACTATCACAGAAAACACAAACCAGTAAGGAAATATTAATAGCATAAATACACCATCATAATCATAAAAAACAGTTAAAACAAAATTTTATGCATCAATACTTTTGAAAGTTTATCAGCCATCAACTTGAGAGAAACCATACTTAAACTCGTCGCCGTCTTCCTCCGCTTATCCGGGTCTGGGTTGCGGGGGCAGCATCCCAACTAGGGAGCCCCAGACCGTCCTCTCCCCGGCCACCTCCACCAGCTCCTCCGGCAGGACCCCAAGACGTTCCCCGACCAGATTGGAGATGTAACCTCTCCAACGTGTCCTGGGTCAACCCGGGGGCCTCCTGCCGGCAGGACATGCCCGAAACACCTCCCCGGGGAGGCGTCCAGGAGGCATCCTGACCAGATGCCCAAACCACCTCAACTGGCTCCTTTTGATCCGGAGGAGCAGCGGTTCTACTCCGAGTCCCTCCCGAATGTCCGAGCTCCTCACCCTATCTCTAATGCTGAGCCCCGCCACCCTACGGAGGAAACTCATTTCGGCCGCTTGTATCCACGATCTCGTTCTTTCGGTCATTACCCAAAGCTCATGACCATAGGTGAGGATTGGGACGTAGATCGACTGGTAAATCGAGAGCCTGACTTTCTGGCTCAGCTCCCTCTTCACCACAACAGATCGGCTCAGCGTCCGCATCACTGCAGAGGCTGAACCAATCCGCCTGTTGACAGGAGGATCGACAGTAATTAAACTTTTCAATTTAAATTCTCGAGTGTGATCACCGGAACACATTCCTCTCAATAAACTCAATAGTTTTATTGTCAGGGAGAAGTTTGAACTCAATGTGGGAGCTGGTACAGTTTTCCAAGGCATCATGGAATTTATCAGTGTCAGTGACAGCCCAGACTCCCACCCAGTCCCCAGAAATCTAGTGAAGTAGAAGACAGATGACAAGTCAGAACTGAAGTGTAGGTTAGATTGAATTAAACTTGGTGTTCCACAGGATTCTGTGCTTGTGTCTCTACTTTTTACTTTAAATATATCTCTTTGAGATAATACTCCAGTGCACAAGCCACATGAAACTGATACAGAATGCATGCATTTCTTCTTATTTTCTGTCTAAAATCAGAGAAATAAAGTTTTTGACATTAATGTTCTCTAGCTTTTGAGCCAATTACCGTAGTTTCTTTTGTGCCTGAGGGTGATTCATAAAAATGACCATGTATCATAATTCTATTATACGAAAACCAAGTCAAGATTTAATTTTACAACTTTATTACACAACCATACGACACCAATAAATTAATTAGATCATACAATGAAGGACTTTAAAAAAATTAATATGGGGTTTAAAATAATTAATAATCCCAGTATTCTGTTGATCACCAGATCAAATAAACGCATTTGTAACATCGTTGCAATGGTAGATCTGAGGTTACATCTTCACTGGGGCCTAACTCACCTTGTGCAGGTTTTTTTGTCGGCAGCCTCTTCGTCAGCCCCTTACACTCTTTGGCGGTTGGTGCTGCGCTGCTGTTGAACACTGAGCAGTAGCAGCAGCACGGATACACTTCCTACATTCATCATATCCTGAGATGAACAACCACTGATTTTTCCAAGCTCAACAGTGAATGGAGGGCATCAGGATAGTTTTTAATGGCTCTGAGCCTTTACTGGCACGGATTCAGTTAGAGCACAGATCATGTATGCTCAGAGAGTTACCTAACTCTCTCCCTCTCTCGCTTTTAAAACAGCTGAGGACAATTAGTTAAATACAGATGTAGCTTTTAGCATTGCTGCAAACAGCTAGTATGGGAACTACTGAAGTGCTACCAAATAATGCTACCCAGATACCTCCCTAAATATAATCCAGTACAAAACGACATGGCTCGGTCAAACACATGCAGATTACTGCAGATCACTTTAATATAAATGTTTTGTTATTCTTCATTGTCACCCACAATGTTCGCCTAAATAAACCAGTAAGATAAATGTTTATTCATTCAGAAAGATGTGATGATTCAGGAGATGAAAGGAAAATTCACTGGGTTGTTTCAGCAAATTAATATTGAGTATCTTGGAAACTTAACAGGTGGATTTACGATTAAAAAAATTCAACAGTAAGACTTTCTGTGTTGAATTTGGCACAACGGTCTGTTTTTGAATGTGATGGGAAGAGAGCCTGTTTGAACCAATCAGAAATTAGAGATTGATGATCTGAAAGTGAGTGACTTCTGATGGAGGACATTAAACTGTAGCTTGTTTTTATCAATTTCTGTAATACTACTACTACTACTACTACTACTACTATTACTAATATTACTTCCTACCATTACAACAACAAAAACAAAAACAACAACAACTACTACTACTACTACTACTACTACTACTACTACCACTGCTAGTACTATTACTCTCACTAATAATACTTCTTACCATTACAACTACAAAAACAACAACAACAACAACAACAACTACTACTACTACTACCACCACTGCTAGTACTATTACTCTTACCAATACTACTTCCTACTATTACAACTATAAAAACTACTACTACTACTACCACTACTACTACCACTGCTAGTACTATTACTCTTACCAATACTACTTTCTACCATTACAACTATAAAAACTACTACTACTACTACTACCACTACTACTACCACTGCTACTACTATTACTCTTACTAATACTACTTCCTACCATTACAACTATACATACTACTGCTACTACTACTACTACTATTATTACTACTACTACTACTACTACCACTACTACTGCTATCACTGCTTCTACTATTAATCTTACTAATACTACTTCCTACAACTATTAAAATTACTACTACTATTACTACTACCACCACCACTACTTGTACTGTAGTAATGAGTACTACAATAGACATGAATTTGAAATGGATCATTGTAAGAACAATATTCATTTCAAATTCATTGATTTAAGCACAGGTTATTCAAACATTTGATTTACACATCTTGTTCATTCATCACATATACCCGTAAGTTGTAAAAGTTCACTTTTTACTCAGAATGAGGAATCCATCAGTCTGAGATAAGGGAGGAAAGAGTTTTGCGGGAGACCTTGACAATTTATTTATGTCTGCGTTGAAGAACAATAAGTGAGCAAAAGGCTGATTCATGCGTCCGAATCCTCCAGATGGCGTAACCTTGACTTTGCAGCTCTGGCGTGCATGAAAGGTTACTGTGTCAATTCGATGGTGAAAATTGACCCTTTTTATTCATTACAACTACAAAAACTACTACTACAACAACTACTACTATTACTACTACTACTACTACTACTACTACTATTACTACTACTAGTACTACTACTACTACTACTACCAATAATAATAATAATAATAATAATAAGAAAAACCACAACAAAAAGGTTAAGTCTTTTTCTCTCTAAAAGCTGCCATAAATTCTTTCCACCAACAAATAAAATCAACGACATTGATTTAATTGCTATTGAAAAATACATTAAACAGAAGAATTTGGTCAAAAACGTCCTCTCCGAGAATTCACCAACAAAATTCAAACATCTCTCATGTTCTGTTTCTTGAGACTGAGAATTTTCTATCACAAAATAACTCTTTTGGCTTGCTAAATCATCAGCTGTCCCATCATTAGGTATCGTTCCATAAACACGAGGAAACAGTAGTTATATATTAACTGATTATAATTTCATTAAAAGCTCTAAAGAGAAAATAAGTTCATGAGATGTCATGACTGAAATATGGGATGTATTAACTGGAGAGGATCAGGGAGGGACAAAAAACAAGGTTTAAGGGTTCAGAACATATTTTCATTTAACTTTTAATGATGTTTTTTCACATATCGGCTGATCTTTCCACTTTTGATCTACTCAAGATTGACTGGCCTCTGGAGCGGATTTCTTGTGACAAAAATCTGAAAAATAAAAAATAAAAAATAAATAATAGTTTATTAGATGTGTGTGGTGTCCTAGTCAGACCAACATCCTCGCAGAATTCACAAACCTGCCAGTCCGTCGTAAGTATACACTCTGTCGTGAGGGAACTTCAGACACTCGGCCAGTTTCTTAAGATCATTGTGGTGGGTCTTATGATGCTCGACATCGCGGTGTGCTCCTTCCCTCTCTGAAACACAAGATCAATGGTGTTAGCAAAAGCTCATCTCAACCTTTATTCTATTGAAATGAGTGAGTTGCCAGCAAAAAGTGTTTGTGTTACTGTAGATGAGGAGGAATCGTATCGTCGAGGTTTTGTAGGTCATTGCCAGACAGTCATGACAACCCTCGTAAAAGTCCATGTCTCCTGTATCGTTGTACGGCTCAACCTGTCCATCCTTCTCCACTCCTAATTCACAAAACATGAAGAATGCATGCAGATTGTAATCAGAATAATACTGCCAGGAAATACTTGACAGTCAAAGTCAAAAGTCAAAGTCAAAGTTCGTTTGATTTTGACTTGACTTTTTGACTTTGACTTTGACTTTAATCGGCTGACTTGTTTTTATATATAAATCAGTGGCGGCTGGCCAGTAGAGGGTGATAGGGTGCCACCCTCCCAGTTTTCCCCAGTGTTTTTAATTTTTATTCAAAAAAATAAATAAATAAAATTAACAATAATCACATATTCTAAGTTAATTGTGTGATTTGTAACAAAAACAAATCATATATCAATATTGGTGAGAAGCTCTCTGCCGAGCGGTGGAGGCGACAGAAAGGCTGTAGGCTGTGTTTCAATCGCCCAAACAGCACGGAAGCAGCCGGCCAATTGCTGACAAGAAAATCAAACGGTAGAAATGGGAATGTATCTAATCAGTGTCGACGTTGTTTCAGAAGCATGATGGGCGATAGAGGTACCGCCCAAGGCTTTCGTTGGTGTTCGGTAGAACTCGGCAGAGTCTCGACTACTCCAGCACATTTTTGGTCGTGACGCAGATGTAATAGACATGGACGCCGCCAGTGAGCCTACAACCAGCATGGATACCGGATCTCAGCAGCCACTGAATTCAGTTCGGTCTCTTCTCCAGTATCCGTTCGAGAGGAGAACTATGGTGGAAAAACTTAATGTCAAAGAGCTTGGACCAGACCAGCCCGACGTAAGCCAGCAGGAGAAGGAGAGAGGTAAACTGTACACACAGGCTTCTCCCGAAATTGGTACACCAGGAAGGCTTGGCTAGCTGGATGCAATCACGCTAATGTGTTATTTTGCTTTCCGTGTTTGTTATTCAAAACGACTGTGACAGATAAGGCATGGATTGAGTCAGGAGTTACGGACATGAAACATTTTTCTGAGAAGGTGAAGAAACACGAGTTATCCCGGGCACACATGGACAACACGGTGAAGCTAGCTATGCTAGGCAGAGCTAACATTGCCATGCAGCTAGAGACGAGGGGCACAGGCTTGCAGTGAAGAAACACAAGGAAGAAGTGGATCAGAACCGGCACATTTTGTCCAAGAGAGAGGTGTCAACACAGTGTATGAGCACAAGGATGACCTCCTCAGATTTTTCCAGATGATCAGAGACTCGGATGACTTTGATCCAATCACTGAGAGAGAGGCAGGAGGCTTTGTGAGAATGCTGGAGGAAGAAGATTTCGGCTTTCTGCTGGCATTGTGTCACAAGATCATGCCACATGTGGACATGCTGTTCAACCAGCTGCAGAAGAGGAACATTGACTCTGTCTGCATCTGACAGGGGTCATCCAGAGCTTCACCAACAGTATGCAAAAGATCAGGTACACACTTGTTTATTTAATATTATTGTGATGAAATTCTCCAGTATGTTAGTTTCACAAACAGTAACGTGGATGTGGACCATGTATGGTCATGTTATTTTATGTGCAATTTAATGCAGTATTTTTCACCCTTGGTCCGCAAGGCAGTTTGCCAATAGTCAGACACACCTGGATTAATCCCTTTGTCCAATAATGTAAGACAGGAAATTAAAGAGCTGTGCTTAATTCAGGAAATAGTGAAGTTGTGCACAAAGCTCAGAAAGCACAAGTTTGTTAAAAAAAATAGCACAGCCCCACCAAAAATATTTTTCACCAGCTGCCACTGATATAAATGCACCATGGATTATTTAATTGTATTTTAATATTGCGGTGTATAGTCTTGTGTGACTGAACTCACTGATGGAATCGTATTTCAGTGTGTGATGCTCAGCGTCATCAGTGGGTATCGTCATGTTTTCATAGTAGGTAGTACAAGAGTCAAGACTTCCTCTGAAAGCAGGACAGATTAGTCAAACAAAGATCTAAAACAACCTCACACAGTTCTTGGAAGCTGATTACTCACTTGTACACGTTCCTCTCGATGCACTCGAAGGTTTTGTTGCCAGGGAGGAGTTTGAACTCTACATGAGAACTGGAGCAGTTGGCCAGCAAGCTGTGGCCATCCTCATGATCAGCAACGGACCAGACCAGAACCCATTCGCCAAAGATCTACAGGAGGGAAAAAAGGACAAACCAGAGCTTTAAAGTTCAAATCAGGACATGTTTTGTTTAACTGAGAAAACTGAAGCTTTGGAAGGAAACGGGTGAACCACCATTACTGCCTAACTTACCCTGTGCAGGTGCTTTGTTGGCATTCTTTTGGTCACGGTGGAGCAGTGTTCATGGGTTGGTGCAGCGTTAGTGCTGATCGCTGCCAGCAGCAGCAGCAAAAACCCAGGTCCCTTCAACAAGCACATCGTACTCTGGATGAAAAACACACTGAGCTTTTGTCAGGAACCAACAGAAGTGGGAACTGTTTGGTTTATAATGGCTCAGGCCCTGATTACCACAGGGTCAGTCCAAAGATAATGTGTGCTCAGTGGGTTACATAACTTAGGTTCACCCTTTGATTTATTTATTGTTTTTGGTCAGTTAGGAAGTGGAACGTTTTTGTGGAGCCAAAACAGTCAGGGAGATGTCTGACATCAGGTAAAAGGTTCAAAGATGAAACCTTTTATTAAAGAATCTTTCAGTGTGACCTGTGCCCCTTTCCTGGAGTCGCAGTGTCCTGACGGTTCTTAATTAGAAACTACAGGGAGTGAGGGGTTAAGTAATCCATAACAGAATGATGTATTCATTCAAGCTGATTAGCAATGATCAGGTGTTCTTTCCATTTATGTAAACAGATACACGTCCTGGTAAGTGGTCGTTCGGGTGCAGTCAGACATTTGACAAAATATTTGATGAACTGTCAAGTCAAACTGATAAATAAATAATGATAAATAGGGTTGGGTACATCAGCTTAATAGTGCGCATACACATGCATGCATGCATGCACACACACATGCACCACCTAATTTATCATGCATGACATGTCACTGAAGAGACCACAGCAGATTCATTGAAAAAAAAAATGAATGGATAAATGAATCATATTTTGAAAACAGAAGATTTTCTATACTCGGTTTGATGGGGCCATTTGGTTGATTGCCGAGTCAAGGGTCACCACCACCAATGAAGGAAACATTACCCGGTGTTTGTAGAACCCAGCATGGTGAGACGGTGAGCTAATTATTTGGTTCTGGTGTACTTGAGTAGGAAACATATGAAACTTGCAGGGTGATGCTTTGTTCACGGAAAACTAGAAAAGAGAAGAAAGATACTTTGCCAGGTTTCAGAAGTCCTGGCATTGAACTTGTTATAGAAATGTAATGTTTTATTATTTCTTGATCATTAATCCTATTAACTGAATGTATTACTCTATGCCTGAAAGCATTCTCATTCATTCAGACACACCCACACATTCCTGTAACCATTCAGGCACACACACACGTTCATTTCCACACACACACCTGTTCCTTTCTTATCTCATGTTATAAATAAACTTGAAGGGCTGATGTTCTTTGCAGTAGTAAGACTCAACCATTGCTTGAGCGTCTGCCCTTTTTGCAAACAGTAACTTGTCTGGGTAATTGTCTTTCTTTTCTCTTCGACTGCAGGTTTTAGGTGATTGATAAAATCCCTAACAGCAATTCACTCTGTTTGTTTGTCTGATGGCTTCGGATGCCAAGTCTTGACAGCATGGATGACTATACTCCTCATCCTCATGAGGACGATGCTGCGCCTCTACCTCACCTTCACCTGGAGACACAGATTTTCACACCCACCCCTTTCCAGCATGTAAATAAAGTATTCCTTTTGCACAAAGATGCTATTTGGCCAAATTAACTAAGCACTATTAAGTTTTCGAGGATGGAGCGCTCTGAGGATCATGTTTGCTTATTTCTCTTGTGCATTTGATGGTTTCTGCAGAATGCTTCTGAGAAGCCAGTTCTCTCTGCATTTACCCAGATCCACAAAAAGCAGACAACCCAAACAGGTGAAACTCAGAAATATTGAATATTGTGCAAAAATTCCTTTATTTCAAAAAATTAATAAGAGGCTGTAATAACTTTAAAAAAATTAACATTGTACAATTCAAATTCCCTTTCCCTTTAGGAGGTACTTATTTTTCATTCCAGCTGTTGGACTGAGGTTACATCCAGATGTTACAGTACCCAGCATCTAGCTGTACAAAGTGGGACAACAGGAACAAACTGAAATCAATAACTGAGTCACAAGTGAAGAAAGATCATCCTACAGTGAAAGTCAGAAAATTGCATCGTCAACCATTTTATTATCGCTTCACAAGCCTCTGAATCTCAATCTAATATGTGATTCCTATCTGCACATTTCCAAGAAGTTCCTTTGCAGAAATGTCGATACGGACCTCTGATTCAGACATATCTGATAAAACAAGTCTGAAACCACTGGTTTAAGTCATCATGCATTAGACACGGACAAATCGGTTTGTTTTTTTAATTCGTCTCTCAGGCAGGTTTAACAGTTTTTGTTAGTATTGCACTTTGATGCCTTCACCCTCCTGACAGTAACCTGCAGAAACACAAAGAAAAGTCAGTTTGATATCGAATCCAGGCTAAAAAATAAACGTAGGCGTCACTTTAAAAAAGGAAACGCATGAAAGCGAATGACCTTTCTCAGGATTGTGTCGGTAGTATGGCACTCCAGAGTAACCGAAGCAGCGCGCCTGCTTTTTGAAGTGCTCCAGATCAGAGTCCTTCAGGGTGGACTCCCTGCCTAGAAACACACAAAATGGTTTAATCCAACTGTCACATGAGTCAGTTTCTCTATTTTACTGGTTTTCACTTACCTAAGAAATAAAGAGCTCGAGTGTGGATCTCATCCGCATCAGTAACATGGTTGATGGTGATGTTCGAAATGAAGACCAGACAGCCATCACAACTGGGCAGGATGTGGGAGACGGACCTCCCGTTCGAAACTAGAGACAAATGCAAAAAACAGATTTAATAAACAACTACTCTTTTGGTTTGAAGATACACTTTTGTAAAATAAATAAATAAATAAATAAATAAATAAATAGCCCATGCAGTACGCTGTATGGGATTTCACTGGGTATCCCATATTTCTCCCACAGAACCAATAAATTGTCCCAGATGTGAACAATACAGAAAATACATAGATGAGTATGAAATAACGAGAAAAATGTAAATGAATTACTTTAACAAAAACAAATGAGAAATGACCTTGTAATGAAAGCAGCAAAAATTAAAAAGCAAAAACTAAAAAAGAATATTTGAATACAAAGGAAAATGGCTACAATTATAATGAAAACTACAAGAACTAAAGAAAAGAATGTCTTTAATTCCTTATTTTATCAAAAATATTTTAATTGGAATTTTTATGAATTTATTATTTATAACAAATAGTTTTGATATTTTGAGCAATACTTCATCTGTAGATCAAAAACTCAAATGGTTTAAACATTTAGTGCCCGTCTTTGAGTTTAACCTGCAGGCTTTTGGCTCTTTGTGTCAGATCAGGTCAGTAAACTCACAGAATGATGTCACTGTGTTGCCGTCCAACGTCATGTTGAGCAATGTAGTAAGGCAGGTTCCATTACTGGGAAAATATCAAAAGAAAAAGGAAATTCATACATTACATGTTTCTGGGGAATAGTAAATAATGAGACATTTAAAATTTGTGCTTTTTAATACAAAAAATAAGACAAATATTAAAGAGCAAGTCACCCCTTACAAGAAACTTACTTCACTCCCACTTCCTGTTTGTAAAATGCAACAAATGCTGTTGCCTAGCAGACCGAGAGGGCAGAGCTGCTAACAAATACACACACACACACACACACACACACACGCTCACGCTCACACACACACACACACACACACACACACGCTCGCGCTCACACACACACACGCACGCTCACACACACACACGCTCACACGCACACACACACACACACACACACACTCTCAACGACATTGTGACATCATATTGTACCAGCTAATGTTCTAGGGTACCTCTTAGCCAATAGCGATGGCAGATTTAAATTCAAATGCAGTGCAGGGTTTTTACCTAACAGCACAACACTGACAGTTTTAGGCAGAAAATTTTAATTTGAACTAAAATGCACTAAAGTGCAAAACTGTTGACTACACGTGTCTGCAGTACGATTAGACACACATTTATATAGTTTATCAGAAAAAAAGTTGATTTGGGGGTGACTTGCTCTTTAAAGATCTTTGGCTCTGAAAATGTTTATAACTTAAAACAAACACTGTAAAAGATGAAATCTAATTTTTTTATTTGGACCAACATGCACTGAGGCAACATGCTTTAATCACAGATTAGTGAGAGCTTAAAGTGTGTTTTACCAGCTTTTCCATTAAAACTCACATCTTGATCTCCTGAGTCTGGAGCACCTGAGAACTGCTGGATGGAGACGCTGTGATGTTCGACCAGGAGCTGTCGATCATCTTAATGTCTGATTTATAGAAATCATGATCCGTGTACAATGCAAGCAAGTGTGTTCTGCCAAACATCTGCAGACAGAAACCAGGATGTTGGAGAAGACTTTTAAGATGTTCTAATAAAGAGCATGCTCACAGAGAAACGAGTGAACGGAGGCAGTGGAAGAGTTGCATTGCTGTTAACCAATCAGAGGCTAGATATATGAATTTTATGAATTATTATAAATGTTACATGAAGGGGTAGGAGACACATTTAGGGAAGGGGGAGGAGTTCAGTGACCGTGTTTGTGTTTAAAAACTAGCTTGTTTTGCAGACTCGCTGTTGCAGCTTTAAAGCCATCACCCCAGTCTTCCACACAAACATCTTTTTTTTTCTTTTCTTTTTAATTTGTTTCATATGAAATGTCAAAAATCAGCGGAGAAAAGCTTAATTTTCTCTGATTGACACATATAATTAAGTAATCAGTGATTAATGAGAGGTTGTTTACCACAGAGGGGTCGGCCAAAGATAAAGGTTTCGCCAGCTGCTTGCACTCTTCAGGTGTTGGATCTGAGCTGAGAAACAGAGAAGCAAAAAGGATGAAACCACTCGGCCTCTGACTCATGATGCTGTAGACTAGAGGGACCCAGAATAACCTAGAAGGGAAGTTTCCATTACAAGAATTTGTCTGTGAGTTTAGGGTAGAAGAAGAAGAAGAAAATATCATTTCTATAGCGCCTCTCAAGATAAAAATCACGAGGCACCTCACAAAAACAAAAAATGTAAAAATATAAAAAAGCATTTAGAAAATGGTTTAAAATATATTTAAAATGAGCAAAGAATAGTCAGTTGTGATTAAAATAATGTTAAGAAAGAGAGATAGTGAATAGGAAAGAGGGAAATTAGTGGATCCTGAGGAAGGTAGAATAGGTGGGGAGAGCAGAATAAAGAGAGAGTGGTGAAGAAGGTCATACAAAAGCCAGCTTGAACAGGTGAGTCTTCAGCTGCTTTTTGAAGGAGACCACTGAGTCCACTGATCTCAGGCTCAGGGGGTGAGAGTTCCAAAGTCTGGGGGCCACAGCAGCAAATGATCTGTCACCTTTGGTCTTTAGCCTGGTGCTGCACAACCAGTAGGCTTTGATCTCGGGACCTCAGGGACCTGCTGGGGGTGTAGGGACTAAGAAGATCACCAATGCAAGATGGTGCTTGTCCATGTAAGGCCCTATAGACCAGAACCAGGATCTTGAAATGAACCCTGAAGTTGACTGGCAGCCAGTGAAGCTGGAGGAGAAGCGGGGTGATGTGGGTGTGTTTGGAGGACTTGGTCAGAAGCCGAGCACAGGCATTCTGAACCACCTGTAGACGGTTCAGGGAGGTTCTGCTCAGACACGTGAAAAGAGAGTTACAGTAGTCTAAGCATGAGGAGATGAAGGTGTGGAGAACTGTCTCAAGTTCAGAGCGGGACAGAATGGGACTCAGCTTAGCAATGTTGCTGAGATGGAAGAAGGAAGAGCGAACAAGAGAACTGACATGAGAACCCAGGGTGAGAGCTGGGTCAAAGGTCATGCCAAGATTCCTGACAGAAGGTTTGGTGTGTGAAGCAAGCTGATCAAGATAATCTCTGACTTTGGGAACCAGCTTGTCTGGGGCACAGATGAGGATCTCAGTCTTATCTTCATTCAGCTGTAGAAAGCTCCCACCATCCAGGTTTTGATAGAGTCTAAGCAGGAGTGTAACAGCTGCAGCTTAGACATCTCATGGGGCTTAAAGGAGATGTACAGTTGGATGTCATCTGCATAAAGATGGTAGGAGATTCCTTTGGAGGAGCTCAGGATGTGCTGAAGAGGAAGCAGATAGAGGAGGAAGAGCATAGGCCCCAGCACAGAACCTTGTGGGACACCATGGGTAAGAGAGGTGGTGGAAGACCTAAACTTGGAGACGGCCACAGAAAAGGAGCGCTCAGAAAGATAAGAGGAGAACCACTCCAGAGCAGTTCCTGATATGCCTACCCAGTCTCTCAGCCTCTCCAGTAGCAGGTGATGGTCAGCAGTGTCAAAGGCTGCCGTCAGGTCCAGCAGGACCAGAACAGAACAGTCCCCTGCATCACTGTGAGTCAGAGGTCATTAGAGACCCTAAGAAGAGCTGTTTCAGTAGAATGAGCTCTACGAAAACCTGACTGGAAGAAATCAAAGATGTTATGTTCATCAAGAGCAACTGTGAGTTGTTAAGCCACAACCTTTTCCAAGATCTTGGGGATGAACGGAAGTTTAGAGATGGGTCTGAAGCTGCTATGGAGAGAGGGGTCAAGGATTTATCACTGGGTGATATTTAATACAACACTGCATCCTGAAAAATCCCAAACGTAGTCTTGAACTGTTGCTGTTTGAATCGGAGTCAGTGCCCCATCCTTCTGTGTTGCGTTGGGTCTGGCCCAAGGGGCTATTTTGGTCAGCATTTTTTGAAGCCAAGAAGGAGTGGCTAAAATCGCAATTCCACCATCATCCACTAGGGGCTGGCACCAGAAGTGAGCAAATCCTCATTGACTCCCATCTTAAAAATGCCAATTTCACATCAGAAATAAACATGTTTACAGCCTGGTTCAAAAAACCAATTTAGGTTTAATAGAACTAGTTTACATTCATGACAACTCTGAGGGGGGTGAATTGATTTGTAACTCTTTTGTTTAAAGGTAATTAAATGCTTAAAATTCTGATTAATTAATGAGCACCAGAGCCACGTGACTTCAGAGCTAGCAATGGGAACTAGCTCCAGGGAAAGGCCTCAGCTTGGGCCCCACGTTAATAGATGTTCGGCCATTCTGAATGTCTGAACTTTAGCTGTGTCCTCTTTGTGTTCGTGTTTGGATGCTAATCATGGAATTGTTTGGACAAAGAGGGCAAGCTGTGGTTACTAGAATCCAAGCAGTTTCTGTTTATTTTTTATCATTAAGTAAAATTATTTTTCTGTACTTCATTTTGCTGGTTGAATGGGGCGAAATGCTGTGTCGTTTAACTGCTTAGTCAAACATGTGGGGCTGCTGGTAGGATAAGAAACTCGAGCGGGTGCCCGACTTCTCCTGTCTCCTGCCTGGGAACAGTTTGTTCAAGCAGTCGACTGGCTATTCCCATTTCCCGGGGCAGCCTGGACGAGGTGGCTGCGATGCGGGGCTGTAGTCATCCTGGTCACTTGTGGATCTCTGAGGGAGACCACAGAAACACCTCAGTTCTTTAAGTTGATGCTGCTTCACTTTCGAGTTGCCACAATCTGGGAGTGTCAACTCAGCCCCCAGCTCTGTGTCGACACAACACTGAGGTAACCGAGTTGACAAGGTCAGACTCACAGATCTTTGACCACGGTGGGCCAGCGAAGCCCGATATCCTCGGTCAGCTTATCTAGTGTTGATTTCATTACTAAGCAGGCCAGAGGTGACCTCAGTGAGGCCACCTCACTCCACTGCAGTTTTCTTGCTAAAATGCCTTGAAAAACCCTGTCAGCTTTGGTTTAGCATTTAGCTAATGCCCCACATATCTCCAACAGTGGATCATGAGCTGATGTGAAAGGCCATGGCGCCTGGCTACGATCGCAGCGGTCTGCTTGTTTTTAACAGTCCCAATCCATACTAGATCTCCACAGGCGACCATCATGGCTACAGCCTCGCACGAGAGCCAGTCAGCCATGCAGATGAGCTACCCCAGAGCCCTTAGCTTCTTGAGTTAGCTACGTTAGCTAGCAGCTTCACTGGTTCGTTTGTTCTAACCCTGTTCCAAACATAACAGCCCCACCCTCAGCTCCACCTCTTTTCCCAGTTTTGGATTGTCTGGGTGAGACAGGACCTGTGACACAGTCAAAAAAATCAGTGGCGGGAACCTCCCATTCTTCAACCCTCCATTCAACCTGCCACCTGCGGTGCAATGTCCATATTTTTATATGTCAATGGTCTGGCCTGATTTTTATGTCAGTTCAAGGCAGCATGAGCCGACTGTCGAAGGCAACAGGATCTTTAAAGTTCAGCAGGTTATCGATTACAACACCCACATTTCTAACTACTTGTGATAGAGAAACAAACATCAGTTTGGAAGGCAGTGGGATTACAAGAAGGACTGACTTTTGTGAATGCGGCAGCCTGAGGCCTTCTCCCTCCTGACAGAAAGCTGCAGAGACAGAAAAGAAAATTTCAGCATGAACTGAAATCCAGGTAAAAAGTTACAACAAAAGAAATGTAAAAGTGACTGACTATTTGTAGGATTGTAGCGGAAGTCTGGCTCTCCAGAGAAGCCGAGGCAGCTTGCCTGCTTCTTGAAATGCTCCAGATCAGAGTCCGTCAGGGTGAACTCCCTGCCTAGAAAAAAAAATAATGTTGGTCATCTGACTGTTATATCAGACCATTTGTCCATCTTACAAGTTTCTTCCTACTTAAGAGGTAAAGAGATTGAACATGGAGCTCATCATCCTCAAAGGTCTCCTTGATTTTCATAATCTTGAGGAACTCCTTCACGTGTCTGGCAGTGGAGTTGATACTGACGAGCAGACAGCCATTGCAGCTCGGCAGGACGTGGAAAACAGAGTTCATGTTGGGAACTGGAGACATGCATAAAATCATCAACCATTTCAAACAGGTGCCTTTTGTGACTAGGAGAACCACCCCTCACGTGCAAGAGAGAGCTACTGCTGGAGGAGCAAATATGTTTTGTATGAAACATAATTTAAAAAAACTCCTAATATGTCACCTTTGAATAATAAAAAGAAATTAACATGCAATAAGATCAGATGAAAGAAAAATAGTAAAAAGGAAAGAATGCTGAGGAGGAAAAAAGCTACAGATATACTGCGTTTTTTTCCCCATGACAGTTTATTAGGTATTTATAAAAAGAGGTTTTGTGCTGGTAAAGGTTCTCAGTCATCCAGGTCATGGTAATCCAAAGAGGTTTGAATAAAGGCAACAGCTACACAAACACATGGCACAACACAGGTGAACTACCTCTTTAGCGCAAGTCTCAGCAATCCACCTACACCAGAAGGACAAGGGACACACTTTTGAAGATGACTAAATGCACATTCTGGACAGAGAAAATAGATGGTTTGAGAGAGAAGTAAAGGAAGCTGTTTTTGTCAAATGGGAACGGTCGACATTAAGCAGAGGAGGCCTCAAGTTTTACCTTTCCAGCACCTATAATGCAGATTTAATTCCAAAACAGTTTCAGTCCAGATCACACCCTCCTGATTCTAATCCAAACACCATTCCCACATAATAGGGGCTAACAACTTCAGTGACTCCTCAGAGGATAGGGAGGAGGGGTATTCATGAGTAGTTTCATCTTGTTAAACAACAACAGCTAGCTACAGTTCATAAGTTTAACCCTTTCATTTTCCAGTCAGAATTGACAAAACTCCTCAGATGAGAAGCAAAACATCTTCAAGAAACCAAAGAAGTCCAGTTGCCTTCACACAAACTCCTTTGGATTACCATGACCTGGATGACTGAGAACCTTCACCAGCATTTTGACTTGAGCTTTCAAAGCACATCCTTGTGTTAAAACTTTGGTTAAAACTAAAGCAGATGCATTAAGCAATTTCTTCTGCAGGTTTATGACTGTTTGCTTGAGATTAGGATAGGAAACTCACCTGATGCTCTTGCTGTGTCTCCGTCTATCGTCACTCTTACTGTTGAACCAAGACAGACCCCACCTCTGGAGAGATGTCAAGAAGCAAATCTAGTTCATAATTTAAAAAATGCTCCCTAGAGAATAGTAAACCAGACAAATATGAAGAATTAAAATGTACATTTTCATCATTACTAGTTTTCTTAACTAAATAAGGGTAGTATTAAAGACGTCTGTTCCTGAAAATGTTTCTTAATTACTTAAAGGCGTGGTTGACCGAAAGATCATTTTTTAATTATTATTTCTGATTATAATCAGTTACTCTGAGTTTTTCATGCAGTCTGAACATGAAATCAGTTTTCTACACCTATCTCCTGCTTTAGCTTCGGATAGAAAATAGATGGTGAAATTCTAAGATTTGAAAATCCTTACACTGTGATGTCACAGTGTGAATTTGCACTCACCCATCTTGGCTCGCGCCCGCCCATAGGAAGGCTTTTTAAAATTTGTTTTGCAGCGAGGAGAGAGAGCAGAGAATGTGTTCGTGAAACTGACTTTGCAACATGGCTGAACGCATTCTGTTAGCCAATCAGAAGTGAGTTTTGTGCATATTATTAATAATAATGAGTAATCCTGCTGCTTTCAGCCCACCTCCAATCTTGCACCAGCAATCTTTTGCACCTCAGAACAGGAGAATCATAGCTTTGTTTTTTCTTTTATTACTCCGTTGATTTACATTGGAGAACACTCAAATGTACTGAATAAACAAGTAAACCACAACTTTAAAACAATTCCTGCAAAAGATGAAATCAAAACTTTTTTTGAGGCCAATTTTCTGATGCAAAGGATGTTGCTAATATAGATTAGGAACAGCTAAAAATGACATTTTGTTCTGCAATTTTTTTCATTACTCACAACTTGTCCTCCTGAGTCATGAGAACCTGAGTGTTGCTGGATGGAGATGCTTTGATGTTCACCCAGGAGCTCTCAGTTATCTTTAGGATGGCCTTAGAAACTTTATGGTTCGTGTAACCTGCAATGAAGTGCATTCTGCCATTCATCTGCAGAAAGTAAACAAGATGTTGGTTAAAGATGTTATTTTATTATTTGTGAATATTGTAACATTATAAAGACAGGTTACAGCTTTCTGAAACTACTATACTAACTATACTAAACTAACTATAACTAACTATACTAAACTAACTATAAAACATTTATATTAAAATATATAACTGAAGCCTAATTCAAAATAATTTTTTTAAAGTACCATTTACAGCAGAAGTCATGTAAACAATTTATTGAAGGCACCTGATAAGGAGGCAAGAGCAGCACTACACGTCAAAGTTTAAGAATGAAAGAAAGAAAAACTCTAGTTTTTCTTTCTTTCTTCAGATTTGAATTTTAAACCATGTTTCATTGTTAGTCAGACTTTTTAGTAATTAAAGCCACAACCCCAAATTATTATTTTTGTAATTGTTTTATGTTCAGTCTAAAAATAAATCAGCCACAGAAACTGAAATGAGCTCAATTTTCTCTTCCTGACTCATCAAACATCAGTGATAAATGAGAGGTAGTTTACCACGGAGGGGTCAGCAAAAGATAAAGGTTTCACCAGCTGGTTGCATTCTTCAGGTGTCGGAGCTGAGCTGCACAGAAACAGCGAAGCAAAGAGGATAACACCACTCAGCCACAGATTCATGATGCTACAGAGGGACATGGGACAAAAGAACAAGATATAAACCCTCAAGAAGTAACTTTCCACTTCAGAACTGAGTGTCTGACTGCATTTTATACACTCAGGCAAGGTTAAAATCTGTGGGTTTTCCCGTTGTTGAGTAAGACTGGATGATTTAGGGGGCATGGATTCCCTTTTACACATATGTGTAAAAAAGTAAAATCAAACAGAAATTTCCATCCAAACAGATTTACTGTATTTGACAGTCCAAAGATGTCCTTGTTTATGAGGGATTTAATCAGGATTCTGTAGAGTTTTTGTATTAATCATTTACTCCTTTGTTTATTTTACGTGCCCTTTGCAACAACATTGACATAAAACCTCTTAGCCTTTAGACTGATTTTAAACTAGGAACAGTGGGATGCATCTCGACTTCCACTAACCCCTAACCTAATGATGTATTTGCCTCTAGAATTTTGTCTAGATCACTGAAATGTTTAATTTACATTAATGACAGAAGTAAAAGAACAATCAAATATTCAATAACTGCACATTCGTGCGTCAATGGTTGTATTTTTTTTAAATTAAATCGATAATTTTATCATTTTCAAAGGGGCCAAAAGACCAAAGGAGAGGTGTGAGGGATTTTGGATTAAAAACAGACTAGAAAAAATTTACAGGTGAGTTCCAAACAGTGATGATGGTAAGTGAAGAGGTATAGCACACAGAAAAGCATGTGGGAGAAATAGCCACAAGGAAACATTTTCATTTACACAAGATTAGAGAGCACAAACAACTAAACAATATTTGTAAACAAAATGAAACTTTGGCATCCATCTGTGAACTCAGAAATCTATCAGCAGGAGAATGCTTTCCTTCGGCTTAGATGCTGTCCATGGTGCTGAAATCCATGGCGCTAGGAGAAACTCTCTCCCTGGGATTTGGCGCTCTCATTGGGACTGAAACATATGGAGCAGGAGAAATGCTGTCCTTTGATCGGATGGTAGAGGATATGCATTCCTATTCCATTATGGAATCATGAAAAAGGGTTTACCACATGGATATGAACGTTTTTTCAATGTGTTTAGCGCTGACTGAAGTCAGGATCAGAATAATCTACAATGTGAATTAGTTTAGTTTTTGTTCAAAGTGCAAAATCGCACCAACCAAAGAAAACCTTACATCAGTAGTTAAACTTGTCTCTTGTTATACGTTTTTCCTATTTTTCTCCCTTTTTGTGGTCATCTGAATAATTTGTTATTAAAAGGCTTCTTTCATCAGGCCTATCAGGATCTGCTCTGGAGTGGTTCTCCTCTTATCTTTCTGAGTGCTCCTTTTCTGTGGCCGTCTCCAAGTTTAGGTCCTCTACCACCTCTCTTACCCGTGGTGTCCCACAAGGTTCTGTGCTGGGGCCTCTGCTTTTCCTCCTCTATCTGCTTCCTCTTCAGCACATCCTGAGCTCCTTCAAGGGAATCTCCTACCATCTTTACGCAGATGACATCCAACTGTACATCTCCTTTAAGCCCCATGAGATGTCTAAGCTGCAGCTGTTACACACCTGCTTAGACTCTATCAAAGCCTGGATGGCTGGGAGCTTTCTACATCTGAATGAAGATAAGACTGAGATCCTCATCTGTGCCCCAGACAAGCTGGTTCCCAAAGTCAGAGACTCTCTTGGTCAGCTTGCTTCTCACACCAAACCTTCTGTCAGGAATCTTGGCATGACCTTTGACCCAGCTCTCACCCTGGATTCTCATGTCAGTTCTCTTGTTCGCTCTTCCTTCTTCCATCTCAGGAACATTGCTAAGCTGAGTCCCATTCTGTCTCGCTCTGAACTTGAGACAGTTCTCCACACCTTCATCTCCTCACGCTTAGACTACTGTAACTCTCTTTTCACGTGTCTGAGCAGAACGTCCTTGAACCGTCTACAGGTGGTTCAGAATGCCTGTGCTTGGCTTCTGACCAAGTCCTCCAAATATACCCACATCACCCCGCTTCTCCTCCAGCTTCACTGGCTGCCAGTCAACTCCAGGGTTCATTTCAAGATCCTGGTTCTGGTCTATAGGGCCCCACATGGACAAGCACCATCTTACATTGGTGATCTTCTTAGTCTCTACACCCCCAGCAGGTCCCTGAGGTCCAGTGATCAAAACCTACTGGTTGTGCAGCGCCAAAGGTGACAGATCATTTGCTGCTGTGGCCCCCAGACTCTGGAACTCTCTCCCCCTGAGCCTGAGATCAGTGGACTCAGTGGTCTCCTTCAAAGAGCAGCTGAAGTCTCACTTGTTCAAGCTGGCTTTTGTATGACCTTCTTCACCACTCTCTTTATTCTGCTCTCCCCACCTATTCCACCTTCCTCAGGATCCACTGATTTCCCTCTTTCCTGTTCACTCTCTCTCTTTCTTTACATTTTTTCTTTTAAATCGCAATAGCTTATTCTTGCTCATTTTAAATATATTTTTAAACATATTCGAAATGCTTTTTTATATTTTTACAATTTTTATATTTTTTGTTTTTGTTTTTGTGAAGCACCTCATGATTTTTATCTTGAGAGGCGCTATAGAAATGATATTTTCTTCTTCTTCTTCTTCTTCTTCTTCTTCTTCTTCTTCTTCATTGTTAGTTTAATTAGGAAACTGATCCATAACAACTAAGCACCAAATCCAGCTGTGTTGGTTCAGAGGCACCAGGTCCTGCTAGCAGAATATGATGAGGTATTTTAACTCTTTTTATTTTTTATTTATTTATTTATTTGTTTTTTTTTACTGTGTCCTGTCTGGCTGTGAAGCAAACAAAGTGATGTCTGAATGCTGATAACAAGCCTTACAGATTTACTCTCAGGTGGATCATCAAAGCTTCTGCTTTTAATGTTACGCCCGATACTTAAAACTTTATTGTTATTGTTTTTGAATGCTTTGTAATTCCGACCAGACACGGAGACAGAGGTGAAAGAGAAAGGAAAAGACAAAAGGTAGGGAGAGAGAGAGAGAGAGAGAGGGGGGGGGGGGGGGTCCACAAAAACAAACAATAATGAACAAGAGTCTGCTTCTAGACCTGCAGAAAAAGACAAAAAAGCAAAAGAACAAAAAAGGGACACAACAACAATACAACAAGATCAAGCTATCACTGCGTCAACTTGATGAAGAAATATATAATCAACATTGCTTAACTGAAGAATCACACGATAACAAATCACAGTGCATTAAGTGCCCACCATAGTCTTAAGACCTGTGTTTAACGTGCCCAAGCCCATACTTTTGAGAGCACCATGTGAGCACCTGTGTGTGTACACGCGCTTGCTTATGTAAGGTTTCTCTATAGGAGCGTCCAACAGAGACTGTGAGGGACCATAGATCCACCACCAAAGATACGTAGGAGACGGGGGGAGCTCCAAGTCCCAGAGATCCAGGCGCTGCCCCAGAACACAGGAACCCCAAGGAGACTGCAACCAGAAAGGCACAGAGGCACAGAGGATCGCCCAGGGGGGCCACAACCAGCAGCCGGCAGAGTCCCGGGAGATATCAGCGGCAAGCCCACAGGCCCGCCCGCAGCCTTCCACCCCCTAGCCGACCGAGCCCGGGACCCAGGGGCAACCTCCCCCGCCAGGGACCCAGCAGAGCCCAGGGACCCAGACCCCACCAGGCAGCCACCGGGATTGATCAGGCAGATGCCAAAAATCTAAAACCCCCAGACATGGTTGCCACGAACACTCAGACAGACCAAGGCACCACACTCCACACCAGGTGTGGCAGGGGGAGGGGTGACGAAGATCTATATCATCAAAAGAAGTTCCAGGAGATGGGAGGAGTCAAAGGCCCCAGCTGACATATACAGTCACACACAAACACAGTCACACACTCCCTTCCTCATGCTCACACATGCACATACAACCCAAGACTTACAAAAACGCACGCCGGACACTCACTCATGCTCCCCATACACACCAAATTCACTCTGGTCCCGGTACTGCTGCACATTGGGTACAACCATCACCGGTAACCAGAGTTTGGCCCTTTCTGCTGGGATGCTGATGAGCAGGCTCCCCCGCCCAACGCTGAGCACAGCAATCCACCACCCCAGACCCCAACCAAACGTTCCAGATCTCCCTCCTAGCCTCCAGCCCCAAGAAGCCAAGCAACAACAGAGGTGTGCTAAGACCCCTAGTCTCCCTCCGCCTGCTCCAATATAGTGTTGTGTGATCATGAGGTGTATTCCATGGCTGTGGTGAGCGGGCAGTGCGGGCATCATCCGGCTTATGCCAGCTGATGCCACCGCACCACCCCACTCACACCCTCAGCCCTCGGTGTCTAAGTGCGGTTTAAAATTGGAAGTGGGCACCGGCACTCGGGAGGAGGCTGAAAAATCCCCCTGCCAAATGCCGTTGAATGTGCTCACTCCCAAGGCCTTAAGTGTGTTTTTGTGTGGAATGTTGTCAGTGGAAGTGTATAAGGTGCAAATAAAATTGGGGGGCAGGTTGCCACAGGAATGCAGAAATGGGGTCCATACCCGCACTCCCTGACTTGCCCACCCTCCAAGGTCCTATGTGTATGTTTGTGTGATGATGTGAGGGAGCAGGAGGAGAGAAAATATGCGGGGATGGGGAGGAATGGCTGGTTGGGCTTAGCCCTCCAGGGAGCCAGCTCCCCTACTGGCCCCAAGAGGCACCTCTGTTGTCAACCGCCACCCAGGGCATGGAAACCCCAACCCATCTTGCCAGGGCCCAAAGCAGCAGCATTACAGAGCCGCACGGAGTCCGAGGGCACCAACCCAGCCCCACCCCAGCAGAATATCTATGCCCATCCCTGCATTTGCACAACTTCCAGAATATATACGACATGGGACATCCAGGTAAGGTTGGGTCCTCCCCCTCCTGGACCTCCCCCTCCCCTGTGATGGAACGGCAGAGGAGCCAAGGTCTACCTGAGGCCCCCGAACCCAGGCCAGGCACTGCTACATGTTCCTGCCTTCTTCCCGGCAGCATTCATGTCAGGACCCGACCCCCAAGGCCCCGCCCAGATCCCCACACAGGGCCGGCCACCCCAAACCCCGAGCCCCCACCCAGACCCACCCAGGGGCAATGCAGCTGCCAGGCAGTGACCCATGGTTGCCACCAAGATCCCC